TTAAAATGTTTTTGTCATTTTCGCCTCACGTTTTTATAGATAAAATGTTCAGTCTAACTTATAGAACGAGCGTCGCGTCTAAACGCGGAGTTTAAAGACCCTAAGGTCTTTAGACCTCTAGGCTACACTTGTGGTTGGGGTTCTATTTTACTTATTATTTATTTATTTCAGGCAAACAGACAGCTATAAAAATACATAATTATACACTTAAATAATTACTTAACAGTCACTAAAGTTTGTAATGTATAATGTAAGTGAAGGAAGCAAAAAATTAAACAATACAATAATAAATTTAATTTTTTACATTATATTTCAAAATTTCAAATTCTAAACTCTAAAGTTACAAATTAATTTTCTATTATCATATTTGTAATCATTTTACCAGATACCTACATACATATATGCAGTATTAAACATGGCCGTTAATAACTATCCCCATTTTTTTTGTTCTCTAAAGTATATATATTATTCGAAAATAAATTCTAGTAATATATATATAGATAGATATATACCTTTTTTTATCGTTTAAAGGAAAAATATGAATAATTGTTTGTCTATTTATTATCAAAATTGTCTGTTACACATGAATATTTTATTGCATAATTACGATATTATAATATTGACTGAAACCTGGCTACATGCTGACATTCTCGATAGTGAATTTATTGTTGCTATTGTTTATACCGTTGTGATAGGGATCGAATATCAAATAAAGTGCTGCGTGGGCTCGCCGTGCTACCCTGCTTACCGCTCCCGGTTGCCGTATGCCCATCGCCAACACACTACTGAGCGCTGTTTACATTCCACCAAATCAGCATGTAGATATATACTCCTCATACACAGAATACATTGAACATATAGTATATGAACGTAACATCCAAACATACTGCATAGTTGGTGATTACAATTCATCTACACTTGACTGGCATTCTAATGGACTACATCTACAACCAGTTCTTACAAGTAGATCTACTTTAATAGACAAAAAACTGGCATCCTTTAGTACTGAAATGAACTGTATTCAGTTGAACACTGTAAGAAATAAAAATAACAAGTTATTAGACCTTGTTTTAACTAATATAGTAGACTGTAAATTGTTGCCTGCGCCAGTCTCTCTTATTCCGGTAGACGAATACCATCCACCTTTTTACTCAACTTTAATTTAAAGTGTATACCTTCTAAAATTAAAACTTATTATTTCTTTAAAGGCGCTAATTATTCATTAATAAATGAAGAATTGTCTAAAGTAGATTGGGATGATTTATTTAAAGATAAATCGGCTGAATCTGCCGTTAATAGTTTTTATGAAGTTATTTATGGGTTAATAAAAAAACATGTTCCAGTTAAATTCACAAAATCGTCTCGCTTTCCGCCTTGGTTTACATCTTCTTTAATACATATTTTCAAAAATAAAAATCAGGCGTGGATTAGATGGAAGAAGTATGGAAATAGGTCAGACTATGAAATTTTTTCTTTATATAGAGAACGTTTTAAAAAGGAATCACAAAAATGTCATAGAGAGTATATTTGTAGGGTAGAAAGTAGTATTAGGAAATATAAAATTTTTTTGGACATTTGTTTCTAATCTAAAAATTTCCATTTACCTAATTCTGATGAGCCACATGAAGTATGTAGCTTATTTTCAGATTTTTTTCATTCCGTCTTTGAACCTTCATCTGTTACAGAAGATTTTAAATGGACTGTCCATTTGTGGCAAGAGTCCATTTGTGGCGGGAGCCCCTAGGCTATAGCCTATCTAGTCTATGTTTAAATGCGGCACTGTATACATAGGATTACAAATTGTAATGTTAATCACGAATATATCTCACAGTCTTGGGTATTCATAGATGTAATGAGATCTAGGCTTGAGCAGGCATCGTTGTCTACAGAAATCTCATTTTCTTGCATTGATGCGATACAATTGTGCCCCTTTGAAGATTTGTGAAATTTATAAGAATACCAAATCGGCTTACACGTTAACTAGGGGTGACTGGCAGCGGTGACACACAGACAACCTCGTAGCCCTCGCTCTGTTTGTATCATTCAATTGCTATATGGAAAGTACGACAGCTATAGTGCTGTGTCTAAACTTTATTTAATGACGACGTCAATATTTTATTAATTTTTATTTATTTATTTTTTAACTTTATTGCACCAAAAACATAAAAATAAACAATTCAAATTAAATACAGATTAAAGGAGAGAAAGGGATTGTTAGTAATGGAGACTGAGAATCCCATTGCTAGCAATATACCCAACCAGGTCGACCTCCTCGCGGTTCCCCCTGGAAACTATCATGGTTAATTCTTGATGAATTCATCATGATGGACTAACTGGCCAATTTTCATTCTCATCTATCTCCCTTCACTGGTGCTCCGCCAGCGTATCCCGTTAGCGCAGCCGGGGTTACCATACCATTTCGACCTGTGTCTAAACTTTATTTAATGACGACGTCAATATTTTATTAATTTTTATTTATTTATTTTTTAACTTTATTGCACCAAAAACATCAAAAAAAATAAAGATTAAAATCAAAAAAAATAAAGATACATATAAAGGTACAAAAGGCGGTCTTATCGCTATGGCAATTTCTTACAGACAACCTTTGGTTAAAGGAGAACATAGAGAAGTTTTAATAATAATAATAACCCATTTTATCTCAAGTATGTGTTTAATAATTGAAGAACATCAATTTAAAAAATTGGTGTTAACTAGCTAGACAGGGGGGAAAGGGATTGTTAATAATGGAGTTTGACAGCCCCATTGCTAGCAATATGCCTTATTAGGTCGACCTCCACGTGATTCCCCCTGGAAACCATCGTGAACAATTCTTCTTGAATTCGTCACGATAGGCTAACTGACCTACTTCATCCTCACCTATCATCCTTCATTGATGCCCCGCTGGTGTATGCCGATAGCGCGGGTAAGGTTATCATTAGTTTCATCCATTAAAAAAAAAAAACTAGCTAGACAAAAAGAATAAAATATTATAATTTACTGAACGAGGTATTACTTTGCAGAAGTCTATATCACTGGTTAGTTAATTAGAATTATTTTGTTTCAATACATCACCATAAGTTACCAGACAGACAGTTTACCAGAGGGAGACTTTGTACAAAAGTCGATTGCTTGGACACCTCTGTCCCATTCGTGTTTCTACCGTGAAGCAGTTGTTTGCATGGCTGTGTTTCGGTTTGAATGGTGGGATATGGCGTGAATTTACTGGGTACAGAGTAATAACACCTGAGTCCTCAGGAATGGGGGGCCATGCGTTGCCATATACATATATATATATATATATATATATTATTTAGCCGTCAAGTGGTGTAAAGAAGTTCTTCAGTAACAGCATTACTCATTTACATAATTATTATATGCAATTTAACTTTAAATTAATTATTTCATTAGCACAATTGAGTGATAAATCTATACATTTCTTTAAAATTTCAAGGGTTTGCCATAATTAAAGCTATTGCTTTTGAGAAAAAAAAATTACAATTATAAATGATCGAAACTATTTAATCAATAGCAGGATACTACAGAGAAATTAGACGACATTCTATTTGGAGATATTAAGTGCAGTCCCATCTCTAAAGACGGCTCGGTGCGTAAGTGGATTTGCCTTAAGCCCATTGCGGCCAAGCTGAGTGTAATACCTTTCACATTTGTCAAAACTGGATTTGCTACATCGGTGTATCTTTATATTAAGCCGCTACTTTATTGGGCTGATTCATTATACTCAAAATATTAATCTGCAAACAAACTTAATTGGAATTCGTACAAGTAAACTGCAAAAAAATAATGAAATAAGTCGTGACAAAATATTGATGAACAATCAAAACAATGATTTTTACTATTTTTGAATCATTAAGTTTGCTTTTGTTACTATATTTTTTTTTTATACATCTTAGAATGGCAAACAAGCTGACGACCCACCTGATGAAAAGTTGTAACCGTCGCCTATAGACATGAGCAGTACCATGGACATAACAGAGTATACTGTTTCGCCCATGATACCCCCCATGCATTGCCATTCCTGAGGACTCAGGTGTTATTTCTCTGTACCCAGTAAATTCTTTCCCATTTTTCTTCCCAATCGGTTATCGAGTCAAATTACGTGACCTGTCCATTATAAATCGACTATATACGTACTTCCACATAAAAAATTTCACATATTTAATTACCAAAAGGATCTAGAATTGATTTAATTAACAGGAAGCACAATACCTAGTGTCTAGTGTGTTAGTAGTGTGAACTATGAGATGTCCTGGTGACATGTTGCACGCGCGGTGTCAAGTGAGTGCATCGGATCGCTTGTGCAACGTGACGCGGGTAATCGTCACAAAAGCGCCCTACTTGCGACGCCCAACTGGCACTTTTGTATTCTTTCCTCTTTTTTTATTCGACCTTTACACTTTTCCCTTACGTGGATTTATGAGTAAATTTTTCTACGGAAAAATACTTTAATGATGACAAAACCAATATTAAATTGTATTTTACTATTTATTAAGGAGTCCCTTTGCGTGATAGAATCTGAGACGAAGAGATCCGCCAAAGAACCAAAGTAACCGATATAGTCTAAAGGATAAACAAGCTCAAAAATAGTTTTGGTATAATATGTCATTTACTCGTAATTTTGCCAAAATCGAAGCTACTTTGCGTTTTCAGCCAACTTCAAAAAGATTTTCAAGTCGGTTATATTTTTTTTTGGTTTGTTTGTTACCTCATAACAAAATTTTTCTACCTCTGCTATAAACCGATTTAGAAAATACTTTTTTTTTATTATAAAGGATATACTTACAGATTAATCCCATAGAAATTTTCTCAAAATTTGTTCAGTGTTACAAACTCCTTTGTAATTTGTAATTTCTAATATTGTATTCTTTTAATTATTCATTTTTTTATAAACTGTCAGTATAACTTTTCAACACGAACCGGCGTTTTCTTTCTAACAATCAGTTCACAATATTATTGGTCCTTCTACCGTTTAAGTGTTGGAAATGGTACTCACACGTTCCCAAAAAGGTAGGCCGTCGAATAAATACGAAAATACCATGGATCACAGCAAGAATGGACAGTCAAACCCTACGTATGGAGATCAAGGGACGTCGGAGGCTCAATGTGCGTCCACCAGTCAAATGGATGCGCCTTCGGAGGGAGTTCACGTGGAGCCCCCACCCAGGTCTCGGGGTGACAGTCACACCGCATCGAGAAGATCCACAGGGAGTATGGTAAAGGCTAGGCTTTTAGCAGCCGAGGCGGAGCACGCTCGCCGGCTCGCTGAGTTAGAACGTAAAGTTGCGGATGCTGAGCTACGCGCACAGCTCGCCGCTATAGAGGCTGAGAGTAGCGTACATGCAAACTCGTATGCAAGCTCGTGTATGAGTAGCAAACAGGTTGAAACGTGGTTGAATAATAACCCGGGTGATGGCCCGTTAGCAGAGGAGCCGATCGATCGGCAACCCGGCATTAGTGCCCCAGAGGTCCCTGCGTCACACTCTTTAGGGTTACCATTTCATCCTACTACTTCTCACAACTCTGTCAGTGATCCCCAGGGACAAAAGTACACGGGGAGTTTTGACGCACAATTCATAGCTAAGGCTATAAGTGATTTAGGTGCAGTCTTAACAAGTAATAAATCGAATAACTGTCATACCAAGTTGCCGTTATTTGATGGCAGTTGTGCTACTGAGTGGCTTAGCTTCAAACGTACATTTGTAGACACGGAAAAATTCTATTCAGCAGGTGAGAATCTCGCACGCCTAAACGGTGCGTTGCGTGGAGCCGCGCGGGAGGCTGTTCACGTCCTATTGGTATCGGCGCGTGACCCACAGCAGGTCATCAGTGCACTCGAAACCCGATTTGGATGTCCCGAGATGATTATGCTACAAGAATTAAATTCCGTCCGAGCCCTACCGAAAGTTAGTAGCGAAGGAAAGGATTTAGGTATTTTTGCGTGTCGAGTGAAAAACTGCATTGAAATAATGCGATTATTAAATCAGGCAGATTATTTAGGTTCACCTGAACTTTTCAACGTATTAGTTAGCAAACTGACTCCACTTTTACGTATGCGTTGGTTAGATTATGCAGCTAGTCATACTGAGGGAGGTAGTAAACTCGAGGTATTATCCGAGTTTCTTGTACGGGAGATACATTTACAAAATAAATTTGGAATAATTTCAGACACATATTTACATCCGTCGACCTCTCATACTACTCGTAATACATCAAATCACACACATAAACAGGGTAAGTATCAAGTTAATTGCAATACGGGAAGCGTGAGTTCAGGTTCATCTAAAAAACCTAATAAATCAAATGTAAATAAATCTGCAAACATGTCATGCATATTTTGTAAACAAACAGAACATGACATTGTCGTATGTGACAAATTTTTATCTTTATCTATAGATGACAGATGGAAATGGGTAAAGGCTAATAAGGTTTGTTATCGTTGTTTACGAAAAAATTCGCATAGATTTAAATTATGTAAAAATAAATCTACGTGTGGTAAGGATGGTTGTTTATTCAAACATCACTTTCTTTTACACAACAATAGCGTAGAACTTAACCTCGTTGCACATGCAGATGTAGATATTGTAGATTCTGATTCTTCTACATCACAAAGCGACAAGAATCAGATAGTAAATACTCGCAGAACTGAAGAATGTGCTGTCGAAGTTTCAGCTCATGCTACCACCACTTTTCCGAACACACTTTCTCGCTCTTTACTAAAAATAATTGCTGTCAGAGTGTCTGGTCCCAGTGGTACTGTCAACACATATGCACTATTAGATGACGGCTGTACTACAACACTGATTGACGCGAAAATTTCGAAACATATTGGTGCTGTAGGTCCCAAAGGTCGTGTGCATATTGACTGCTTAGGTGGACTTTCGAAAGTGAGTGATTTTTGTTTAGTTAATTTTACTATCCGAGGTTTACACAACGAAGATTCCTTTCAAATTCACGGTGCTCGTTCCGTTGATAATTTAGGTGTAGCTTATCAATACGGTATTCAAGCTGACGATTTGAAGAAATATCCTCATCTTTTCGAGATTGCCGATGAGCTTTGTTACGAAAACGCGCAACCTACAATCGTGATAGGGATTGATAACTGTCACTTGACAGTACCTAAATTAATACGAGCGGGTACTGCTACTGAACCGATGGCTATTAAGACTGCTTTAGGCTGGGTTGTTTGCGGACCTATTAGTAAAAGTAAAATAGGAAGTGGTCGTGATATAATAAATCACGCTACAGTTTTTGATGATTGTCAATCCGATAACATTCAAAATTTTGAAGAAATAATTAAAGAACATTATAGATTGGATTCAATTGGCATTGTTAAAAAAGAATATCGCGGTAGGTCGGACGCACATGCACTCAAAATTTTGGAAAGCACAGTGCGACGATTGCCTGATGGACATTTTGAAGCTGGTCTTTTGTGGCGTCCTGATATTAGTGTCGTGCCAAATAATTATAGATTAGCACTTTCACGTTTTCTTAGCCTAGAAAAGAAGATGAAAAGTGATAATCAATACGCGCAGTTATATCGTCTGAATGTACATGCTATGATAGACAAGGGCTACGTTGAGGAATGTCACAAGTCACCAATAGGTATTTCCTGGTATCTCCCGCATTTTGGGGTGACACATCCGCATAAACCAGGAAAATTACGCATTGTTCATGATGCTGCCGCTAAATTCCAAGGGATCAGCTTAAATTCTTTATTATTACCCGGTCCTGATCTCTTACAGCCCCTTCTTAGTATACTCATGCGATTTAGGGAAGGCCCTATTGCTTTAACAGCCGATATTCGAGAGATGTTTCCGCAGGTTAAGATAAGGGAGCAGGACCGAGACGCTCAAAGATTTTTATGGCGCGATTATCACACGCAGGAAATTAAAATATATCGCATGTCTTCAATGATGTTCGGTGCTTGTTCGAGTCCATGTACCGCGTTGTATGTTAAAAAAGTAAATGCTGATGAATTCCAAGGAGAATTCCCGGAAGCAGCACATGCCTCTGTATTTGATACATACATGGATGACTATATAGGATCGCAGGACAACATTGAGAAAGCAGCTCGTTTAGCTGCAGATATTGTAGAGCTGAATAAGCGAGCTGGTTTTGAGATGCGCGGTTGGGTATCCAACAATCCTGATGCCCTAGCACTTTTATCAAAAGACTTGGTTTCTACTTGTATCAAAAGTAGAAACGAGTCCATAGATTTAGGTAATTCGAACAACGACGTAAATGTTCGGACTCTAGGTCTTATTTGGCAGCCTAATATTGATACAATTTCGTTTAGTATTGGGTTCGAAAATGATAAATTGCCACATCAGATTACTAAACGTGATGCGCTTTCTTATGTAATGCGTATTTATGATCCTCTTGGTATTTTAGGACCTATAGTTTCCAGAGGGCGTATCATGTTTCAGAATATATGGCGTAAACGCCTCACATGGGACGACGAGTTACCTCAAACCGACTTGAAGATTTGGCATGATTGGTTTCAGGATCTAAAATTGATATCTAATCTCAAGATATCACGCTATTACGGTTTGAGTGAACCCGATATATCCGAACGCGAGCTTCACATCTTCTGTGATGCTAGCGAAATGGCTTATGCTGCAGTTGCATATTGGCGGATGATTTTCACAAACGGAGATGTGAAGGTCGTTCTCATTTCCAGTAAGTGTAGAGTAGCTCCATTAAAGCCGACTTCCATCCCCCGTTTAGAACTCCAGGGAGCGTTAGTCGCTGCTCGTCTAGCGTCATTCATAGTCGAATCTCATAACCATAAACCAACAAAACGATTCTTTTGGACTGATTCCTTAAACGTGCTAGGGTGGCTCCGGAGTGATGCGCGTACCTATAAGCCATTTGTAGCTCATCGTTTGGGTGAGATACTCGAACTCACACTAGTCAATGAATGGCGATGGGTTCCAACGCATAGTAATGTGGCTGATGATGCTACGCGTGTTAATCGTATTATTTTAACACAGTCGTCTCGTTGGCTTGTAGGTCCCAATTTTCTGTATGACAATGAGTCTAGTTGGCCATCATCTCCACCAGTATCTATGGCTGGTAGCTTGGACAAAAATGACGTAGAACTGAAACCGTCTACTCGTCATCACTCATGTGTTGTTAATCTCATTACGTCACAGCCATCTCCCATGCCTCTTGTAGTTAGCTCTGACAGACTAAGCTCCTGGTTGAGATTGTTAAGAGCAACGGCAAGAGCTCATAAATTCATTACCTTGCTGCGTCGGAAAGGCACTTCTGATATTACGGCTGAAGATTTGTCTGTTGCTGAAACACATTTACTGCGACATAGCCAGTTAGAAACGTTTGCGGAAGAACTTGTACTCTTGAAAAATGGTCAACCTCTACCACGGAAGAGCAAATTGTTCACGCTTTCCCCGGTTATCGATGAACAGCGAGTCATCCGTTTAAAAGGCAGGATTGATCGTGCAATAGACGTCGAAGATCACGTGAAGCGCCCTATTATCTTGGATGCTCGTCATCGGACTGTGCGTCTACTTATTGCCTATTATCACGAAAAGGCAGCTCATGGCAATACAGAGTTGGTAGTAAATGAACTCAGACAGTTTTATTGGATCATTCACCTTCGAAGCGCTGTTCGATCTGTTGCTTACAATTGCAGAGTCTGCAAGATAAGACGTGCTACACCGTATCAGCCTCCTATGGGAGACTTACCCGCTGCCCGTGTAGCTCATCACAAGAGACCCTTCAGTTTTACTGGTCTTGACTATTTTGGACCTCTTCAAGTTGCTGTTGGCCGACGTCGTGAAAAGCGGTATGTCGCTCTTTTTACATGTTTGGTGACTAGAGCAGTTCACCTAGAATTGGTACATAGTTTGAGTACCGATGCCGCTATTATGAGTTTACGCAGATTTATTGGTAGACGTGGGGTTCCTACAGAAATCTGGTCGGACAATGGGACGGCATTCGTCGGTGCCAATCATTTATTGAAGTCTTTGTATGGAGCTGAAATGGAACTGTTTGCTGCAAATGAGTGTATTTCTTGGAAATTCATTCCACCATCTGCTCCTTTTATGGGCGGTTCATGGGAGAGATTAGTGAGATCAGTGAAAACCGCCATGCAAGTCACTTTGAAAGAGCGTACACCCAGTGACGAGATTTTGTTAACTCTTCTTATAGAGGCAGAAGCGCTCATAAATTCCAGACCTCTCACTCACGTGCCCTCTGACCCTGATCAGAGTGAAGCTTTGACTCCTTTCCATTTTATACTTGGAACTTCGTCAGGAAAACCAATACCTGCACGTCTAGAAGACCGAGACCTCTGTAGTAGAGCAGGATGGAAAAGGGCCCTACGCCTCGCAGATCATTTCTGGTCCAGGTGGGTTAAAGAATATCTGCCAACACTATTGCCTAGACGAGGGCAGGGTATTGCGCCAAGAGTGAATGTGGGGGACCTGGTGCTAGTTGTAGATGATCAACAACCGCGTGGAACGTGGCTAAGAGGTGTAATCACTGCAATTTATCGAGGACAAGATAGCATTGCTCGAATAGCCGAAGTACGGACGCCTATCGGCTTATTTAGACGCCCAATGAGGAAGTTGGTGCCCCTGCCTACGTAAAAAAGGGGAGTGTTACAAACTCCTTTGTAATTTGTAATTTCTAATATTGTATTCTTTTAATTATTTATAAACTGTCAGTATAACTTTTCAACACGAACCGGCGTTTGATTTCTAACAATCAGTTCACAATATTCAGTGTTTTATTTAAATCAATATAACTGGTATTTCCACAATTGAAGTCAGTCTTTTGTGGAATATAATGTTAAAAATTTTGTAAATAATCTTAATTTATTACAATAATAGAAATTGCCTGATATTACCCGTCACAATTAATCCATTTTCATTTAATGCCACACGACTCGTGCAAGTAAATTCTGCCAAGCAGCATACATCCCAGCATCTTTGTTGTGAAATTCTTCAATACACGAGGTGCAGTGAGGAATTTAATTAAAGTAACCACGTTGTGATGTCGACACGTCGCCGATGTAATTAGCTATATTGTGACTCTTAGTTAAACCTGGCTGTTCATAAGAACACCCAGTACTAATGCCCCTTCATTATTATTATTATTATTTCATCTGTCATTTATCCATATACATACATACATACATATTTGTCACGCCTGTCTTCCATTAGGGTAGGCAGAAACAATGGAACGCCAAATGTTTCGATTCAAACAAACCTCTTTCGCTTCTTTCACATTCATCAATTTTTTCATACACGCTCGCCGGTTACGGGTACTTTTAATTTGGCCCTTCTTCAGCACGTCGCCTATTTGGTCGACATATGTTCCTCTAGGGGCGGCCCCTACCGACATCTCCATTCATTCTCGCTCGATAAATCTCTTTCGTAATTCTTCTTTCATCCATCCTCTCCAAATGACCAAACCAACGCAACATTCCTTTTTTGATTTTGGTCACTACATCGTCTTACAGTCCACACTTCTCTCTAATCACAATGTAGAAAAATTGCCGTAAGCAATGGTCCTGAGTTAAAAAGCCAAATGAGTTCCTACAGTATATTTGAAAACAATATAATAAGTAAATAGAAACAATGCTTGAAATTAATAATGTAAAATATGACTGTTCATCAACATTTAGTACCTCGTGCCGTCGTATCTTGTAGGTACGTGCCTCCCACCAAATTGTTTATAATTACTCCTCTCCATCCAAAGGTTGCCTGGAAGAGATCGCTCTTAGCAATAAGGTCGCCCATTGTTTTCTCATTGTGATTATTTCTTGTAATTATTTATATTTATAATAAGTTTACTATTGATTGATATTATTGATTGATACCTGTTGCTGATTTTCACCACCGTACAACCCGTCACAAACTAAAGTTTCATCCCAATCATCTGGACGAGTGGCGGTCTTCCACCGTGCGTTTTTCAAGGCACTTTCTTCCACGCACAACCATTCTTTGGAATCAACTTCCAGCAGCAGTATTTCCGAACCGATACGACAACATAACCTTCAAGAAAAGAGTATATTCCTTTTTAAAAGGCCGGCAGCACACCTGCAATGCCGCTGGTGTTGTGGGTGATCATGGGCGGCGGTAGTCACTTACCATCAGGTGAGCCGCATGCTCGTTTGCCCCCTGTGTTGTAAAAAAAAAAACTATTGTAATCTTTTGGAGGAAACAATTAAGAGTATCTATCTATCTATCTACTTTAGGAAAAGTAAAATGACTAGCCATGTGGTCCCGGCATAGAATAGATTTCCGTGAGTGTCGTAAGAGGCGACTAAGGGAAGGCGAGGGACGGGCAGCAGAGTCCGTCTTAAAACATTTCCAAAGCCTAACTGCGGTTTCCAATCCGCATACCAAGCGTGGCAACTATTGGCAAAACCCCCTAACGGATAACTTATGTTTAGCAGTTCACAGTTAATATGATGATGATGACGAGGATGAAGTGAACAAAGACACAAGATTCTTGTCATGAACAAGATATAGGTAATTCTGAGACCCTACAAACAGTAAGGTAAAGAACATATGAAGTGCTTCATCTAACGGAGAAACTATATTTGCTTGTACGGAGTTGCATTCAAGAGACTCTTCTCCATCTATTCTCCACTTTCCTAGCTATAATGGTCGATTTATTACTACTTCAGTTTGCTTGTCCTTCAGACGATACCCGTCATTGGTTCTTCTACAGATGTCTTCATTCTCTGAGCGTAGACTCCATAACCCGTTCAGCAACTAGAAGCTTCTGCATGTGGTTAGTAATGCATGACCATGTTTTGATTTTGTAAGTCATCACTGATAAAACAAACAGGTTAAAGACTTTTAAATTTGGACGTATTTTGGAAGCAACTTCAACTTGATTGTATCATTCGAGTTAAGTAAGGGTAAGTTGCATAGTGTGCAGTTGGCAGCGTAATCATAACACCAAAATAATGCAGACTTATTGAAAACATTCTCGTTTCGGAAGTCGTTTAAAAATATATACACAATTTCTCACAACGCATCCTGTCATGGATTTGTCTGGGAACAGATTTAAACTTTGCAACCGCATGAAAATGCACGTCCTTAAAGCTTCCGCAAGAAATTCAGGATATATTCGTTCGGAGAACAAAGGCACCGCCGCGGCATTTCCGGCCGTCCGACGCCGGAGATTGCACTCAAATACATTTTTCCGTTCCCTGCCGGCGCTGGGCCGACCCCACGTCCGGACTTTAGTTGCTAACGAGCGCCCTTTGTTGTAGCCACGCGTGCAGTGGACACGCGACGTCGCGCATTGTTGCCGCTCGTCGCAGGTAATGATCATGTATCGGCCAAAAAACCAGCTCTGTACATGTAATACTGATTTATTTAAAAAATATATGATATACGACATTAATATTACAAGATACGGAGGCATAACATCCTAGTCCTCAGGATGTAACGTGTCATGAACTTTACGGTGTTTCTATGACATCCATGGTGCTGTTCGTGTATAAGCGATGCTTATCTCTTTCTATCAAGTGGACCGTCAGCTTGTTTATTCTAAGAATCTTAAAAAAAAATGCATTTGGTAATCCTAAATTTAATAGCAAATTTTTCTTTTGACATCTCGCTCCTATAGGATTCGAATTCACATCAATAAAATCGTAATACAGTAGGATCGCGATAATTCGAACCCTCGCTTATCATAATCCGACGACCTCTCCCCCCTGGTCACGCCGTGCAGTATTGTATTATTTACTTTAGATATCACTCAGTGTCTAAGCGAATTCTCAGTATTGTGTTATTCACTTTAATAGCTACATTACTACATTAAATGAATACTTACAATGAATGGATGAAGTAGATATTTCCATTCTAGAAAAAATTCTGTTCCGTAAACAGATGAATAAAGCATTTTCTATGGCACTCGTCACAATACCATTACTGATTATTTAAAAAAAAAAGTATAATAATTCATATAAAATACTTAATAATTTTTTTTTTTGTAACTTCAATTACAAAATAGTAGTTTCATTTAAAAAAAAATACCTTTTCAATATACCATATACATATATTTTTTTTATACAATTTAGAATGGTAATAAACAATGGCTATAGACATGAACGGTACCATGGACATAACAGAGTATACTGTTTCGCCCATGATACCTCCCATGCGTTGACATTCCTGAGGACTCAGGTGTTATATCTCTGTACCCTGTAAATTCACTGCCATATCCCACCCTTCAAATCGAAACAGCCATGCAAACACAACACAACTGCTTCACGGTAGAAACACGAATAAGACAGAGGAGGCCAAGTAAACGACTTTTGTACAAAGTCTCCCTCTGGTAATATATACATACTGTAATCCGAACGCTCCATTGTTCTGAGTAGCATGTTACAATTTGGATATTCGAATAATCGTGGTAGTTATTATGTACAATAATCGTGTACATAATAACTACATGGGATAGATAAAAGAAACACTAGGTGTCATGTCGCATAGGGAGGTCAAGGATATGGCCTGAAATAGAACTGGCTGGAAGAAGATGCATGAATTAGTTGCACCAACAAGAGGAAACTCTTAAATGAAAAGAGAGATTGTATAACATAATCAATAACAATAAAGCCAAAAAATACAATGTATTGTTAAAAGTCACTTAAAAATAATATTACAACGCCTGCCTGCCATCACAGAGGACAAATTTACATGCTCATACACCATCAATCAATCAAGATATCTTCACCTCTTTATCCATCCATAACCAGCCATTAACTTTTCACGGATATGAGTCTCACCTTATAGATATTATGGAACATTTTTAAGAAATTTCAAAAAGAAGGCAATTCTCAATTTACGTGTATTTTTAGTGCGATAACGCGCAATATTTATGGCGATTTTAAAATTCATATTGTAATCGTTTACTACCATATTGATTCCATATTAGTTTTGTCAATATTAAAAGCATTGCTTTTTTGCCAAAAGAAATCTTAAATTATATATGAATCTTTTTGTCAACTATTAAGTATTTCATGTATTCATTTTATTATAATTAAAACAGAATATAATCCTTTGTTAATATAACACAAAAGTGGCAAGCAAACATACAGCCTGTCTGATGGTAAACAGTTACTGGAACCTATGGACGCTTACACTCAGGGTGTCACGTGCGCGCTTCCCTCCCTACAGAATATATAAAAAATATATATTTTAAATGTATCTATGAATCATGTCATTGCTTATTGATGGACTTTATTTGTATTAAACTAAATACACGTATATTAAAATTTACTAATCAATATTAATGCTGTAAATACACAATCAGGACTTAACGAGAAGAAAAAACTTTGCCAGTAAATAGTACCTACATACCTGCGTTTTTATTGCCGACGTTTCGACGTGGATTGATAGTAACGTATAATGTAACCTGCGAACTTGCGTGTAACCTGCAAAATATTTTTCATCGCGTTAAGTCCCGACTGTATTTAAAATATGTGTAAACGACGCGAAAATTTAAAATTGCCTCTTATTATTGAAATGTAGCATGGGAATATTGCATTATAAAATGAAATCAAAAATATTCTTTATAGACTTCGATAAATTCATTTTATATTCTGGCTACTTCATAAGATTCT